TTGTACATAGGGTCGCTATGAATCTCAAGTGACTCGACGGCACATAACAACAGCAAAAACATTGGGATGAAATGAGCAATCATGTCTCTGAGCATCATTATGAAACTCAGAATGTGACATAATGCAGGACGTTATGCTGGGTGAACTATCTCAGTTAGAAGAGGACAAATACTGCATAATACCACTGTTATAAAAGAGGACTGACATGGGGGTTGGGGGAAACTAAGAAAAGAGAAGATAAATAATGTACACGGCACTGAAACAGATGAGGGAAAGAATTGTTTAAAAGAAGTATATGACTAAGGATTGTTTGTATGACCACGCTCCAGAACAAGAGTTGCACAGCAGCGTGGACTGGGGCTGAGGGCGGGGGTGGTCGGGAGGAAAATGTGCAACAGTGAATGGATGGAAATCCATAGAAATCCAAGTTCTTGGTAAACTGTCGTTGAAATCTTAAGCGAGAAAAAAAAAGAAACACGGAATGTCCAGGAGTTCATTGCTGTGACAGTCTTCTGGTTTCCGAGAGCTCTTAAGTTGTTGACTGGAGTATACAAGCTTCAGGGCTGAGGAGAATGCAGAGGAGGAGGGAGTGGCTAAAAGGAAACTGTCCAGGTGGTCAGGTAGCTTTTGAAAAGAGGGAAGATTTGGGCAGAGAACAGAGATGGCCAGAGGAGGTTTGCAGGGAAGTTAGTGCGATCTGGCCCTGTCATCCAAGCCTCATAATCATTTCAACAAAATGTACTTCATCACTGTGTGTGCATTTGTAGCTTTCGGAGAGTGGTGGTTCAGAGCCTTCATCATCTTGCTCAGGAGTAAGGTGTGGGCTGCCGTAAACGCAGCTGCTGACAAGCTGACTGGCTCACGGTGCCTCCGGGTATGTCTAGTGGACCTGTGCTCCAGAGGCTTTTCAGTGGCTGATTTTTCAACAGTAGGTTGCCAGACCTTGCTTCTAAGGTGTTAACCATCTATACCACCAGCTCACTCCTGGGCTGCCTTAGACTGGACTCTTCATTAGGAGAGCCATTCTAGCAGAGCCTGGATCGTTTCTTGTCTGGAATATCAAGAGTCTGGTGAAGACTAAATTGATTTGGAAGTTCCTTTGCCCCAGAAAAGCTCTGATTCTTGGCTGCCCATTTCTCTGATCCTTTCATACTCCACTAAATGCTGCCCAGACGCATCTATTATTGGCTCAGATAGAAAACAGCTTTTTACCATTTTTATTTTCAAGTGAGTTTGTTTCACCTGTGGGTTCTTGGAGACGTAGCTGAGGGGTGCTGGTGAAAATACGAGTGTGATTGGGAAGTAGAAGATGAGAAAGAGACTATCCTCTGACGGAGTGACGCTTAGAGGATCAAAGCATTGTCACAAATAAATGCTGCAAGTCAAAGTTCACTCAACACTACCTCCCATTGAAGATGTTGTTAGTTGTGTTATGTGCTATTGAGTCACCTGCAACTGTCGTTGTGTACAGCAGTTCTGAACCCTGCTCTGTCCTGAACCAGTCTCACTGACTCTGACACACCAACCCCATTGCCCCAGTTACTGTATCAGTCCATTTTATCCAGGGTCTTCCACGCCTGCACTGTCCCTCCACCCTTCCGAGCATGACATCTTTCTCTAAGGATCAGTCTCCTGACCATGTGCCCAAAGTATGTGAGATGGAGCTTCAAAATCCTTGCCTCCAAGGAGAAACTTGGTTTCACCCTGTCCAACACAGGCCTGTTTGTTCTTTCATTAGTCCAAAGTATGTTCACTACTCTTCTCCAGCACCACAACTCAAAGGCATTGATTCTTCTTCTGTCATACCCTGAGCCAATTCTCCTTGTTCTCCTGGGTTGGAAATAGTAGGATTTAGTTTTGGGGTGTTGTTTTGGGAGTTTGCCAACCTCATTCTCACCCATTGCCATCCAGTTGATTCCAACTCAGGAAACCTATAGAGTAGAGCAGGCCTTAAAGAGTTTGATGTTAGATACTGTGGAGTATGTATGAGTCATAGTGCCCCTTTGAACAGCCTACCTGAACTCTGCCCTATCCTGTGCAATCCTCGTTATTCCCAACACACAAGAACCCATTGCTGAAGTCACTGTGTCAATCCGTCTTGTTGGGGGTCTTCATGCTCTTCGCGGACCCTCTATCCTTCCAAGCATGGTGAAGCACACAACTATTAAGTCTCTATATTGATCTTTCACAGAACAGCATGAATCGACTGATGTATTTGAACTTTTAAAAAAATTTTTTTTTCCTGTCATGACTTTTTATTTTTATTTTTTTAAAATATTTTTTAAAAAATAATTGTAATGAGCATTTACAGAGATGTTGGATTTTCATTCATTCATTGCTGCACTCTCTCTCCGCCCAGCCCTCCCCCCCTCCCCAGTTCGCTCCTCTCTTTCAAAAGTAAAAGAAACACTCCTTCCCTGGTACACAGTCCCCCCACACCCCTCCCACTGCCCCAAGTACATTCCACTATGCAACCTTAATTGTGGACTCTTGTGATTTTTAAAAATTTTTATTTTATTATTTTGTGTGTGTGTGTGTGTGTGTCTGTATAGTCAAATCAGATCTGACTGGTACAGGAGGAGATTTTCCCTCCTTCTCCAGCAGAGGTGGATTCAAACTGCTCACCTCTGGGATTGCAGTGCAGCTTCTTGCCACTAACCTTTCAGTTACCAGCTGAGCTCCTTAACCACTCTGTCATCAGGATTCCTTAACAGCACTCTAGAGATATTTAATGGAAATACATACCCCTTTCTCTCCCAGAACTCGTGGCTTAGCCAACCTACATTCCAGTGTTAGTGACTGGAACTTCTCAGTGTGGTAGACAAACAGAATTGGAGTCCTGTGCAACTGGAGGGACATGTTAGGATCGTTTCTAAACATGCCTTCAGCATGCCGATTGGTATTTTTCATGGACACTCTTCACAGATTTTGGTTTTGTTGAGACTGGTGTCCAGTGCAGTCCAGATTCCTCAGGGCTTGTTCCACGTCTGCTTCTGTGTATGCCCCAGACTCTGGTAAACCCTGCATTGAAGTGGGCTCCCCATCTCAGGGGCCCTTTGCTACCTGTGGCTTATCTCTTCTTTTCTGATTCTTTACAGGAGCTTGAGCGCCTTAATCAGGTGCTGGAGGCCGAGAAGCAGCAGTTTGAGGAGGTGGTGCAGGAGCTGAGAATGGAGCAGGAACAGATCAAGAGGTGGTGCAGGGGCCCTGGAGGGCTTTCAGGAGGAGGGTGAATTTAGGTTCAGGAGTGCAGGGCTGATGTGCTTGACTGTTGTTGTTGTTGTTGTTGATTGCTGTCAAATCGAGCACAACTCTTAGTGACCCTATGAACAAAAGGCCAGTAGCCTTTCTATAATTATCGTCATTTATCAAAGTTCATAGTGTTTCCAGAAGCATGCTGTTCAGGAAGTGGATGCCACTCCTGGGCTTAGAGAAACCTCTGCCCAGGGGATGCTCATTAGCTGATAACTTGGCTTGAGTCTATGTTTTCAATGTCTGGGTTTGGGGATATGTCCAGAAGCAGCTGTAGACCCCCATAGAAATGGGTCATTTCTAACAACTGTGGGCTGTGAGATGTGGGTAGGTCCTAACAGGAACCCTTTAAAGCAACAAGCCCCTCCATCTACCATACAAACCTTCCCAGGGCCAGGTAGTAGCTGGCTGCCCTACAAGTTCCAGGAGCTAAATATCCCCACATGGCCTGTCTTTCCTGCACTCTCCTTTCACATTTTGACCTCTGATGGCACTTGAGATATTTAGCCTCACATCTGGTTTGTGACATCTGTTCTTCCATCAGCCCAGAGAATATTTAATACTCTGTCAACACCACAATTCAGAGGCATCAGTTCTTCTTCAGTCTTCTTTATTCATTGCCCAACTTGCACATACATATGAAGTGATTGAAAAGACCTTGGCTTGGGTCAGGTGCACCTTGGTCAGCACAGCTTCATTCTGTTTGTGTACAAGGGTCACTATGGATTGGCACCAATTCAACCGCACCTAACAGCAACATGGTCTGCAAATCTCGTTGCACATTACAATCATCTACTTACTTGAAAGCATGGTCCAGAAATCTGTGATTTAAAAAAAAAAACAACAAACCTTCCCAGCTGTCCAGGAACTTGGAGACTGCTGCTCTTAGTGGTGGTGGCCACCATCATCATTACTGACCATCTGTGATAGCCCAGAAAGATTTTTCTAGCAATGGTTTCATAAGAGGAAGTCAAATAGACTTGTGTTTTAGGAAGGGAGACAATCTGAGGCTCTTCCAGCTCAGAGGAATTGCCAAGTACTGCCTCAGCTTCCAGGATTGTGTCAGACACTGAAGTAGAAAATAAATCCCTCTCCCTGGAGAATTTTACAGTGCAATTGGGAAAATAAGACTCACACCCGGGAAACATCAACCTAATAATATAGATCAGGTGCTTCAAGGCATCATGCAGATTTCCTGTTACAGGAATTAAGAAATACATATGATTCACGTGGCCTTGCATAAAGGTTAAATGGAGCTGGGTAAGAATTGTAGTGTGGAAAGGAATTAGAAAGGTGGGCCGAAGGGAAAGGCATTCCAAGCAGGGGGAGGGGAAATAGGAGCAGAGATCTGAAGTGACCAAGGTTTGTTTAAAAGGCAGTGGGGGGCTTGTCACCTCTGAGAGGGGCCTCAGGCATGTCTCAATGCCAGAAAGAAGTTGGGTTCTAGTAGGGACATGTGTAGGGAAGATGGGGGATGAGCTCAGAGCCTGTCTGTTCCTTCAGTGCCCCCACTGCCTGTGGACTGACAGATGCCCGGACATCTGGAGCAAGCAGCTCCAACCCCACTTTGCAGTAGCTGCTTCTCCCAGCCCCAGGCCCTACAGCTGTTGTTGAGGCTCAGCTGACAAAGAGGGCCTGGCCTTTGAGGGCACTCTGAGCCACCATGGTTAGGTGCCATGGTGGTTCATAGCGATCCTATGAACAGCAGATCTAAACCTTCCTTACTCAGTGCCGTCCCCATCATCTCCAATGCATTTGAGCCCAACTAGCAGATAAACAGAAGCTTCTGTAGGTAGGAGGCGGGCTGGGTGGACACCACCATATCCAGTCCTCTATTCTTACAGAGAGCTGGAACTGACAGCAAGATGCCTCAAGGGGGTAGAGCAAGAGAAAAAGGAGCTGAGGCACTTCACAGAGTCCCTGCAGCAGACACTGGAGGTAAACGCCCCTGCTGGGCTGGTTTCCTGGGAGGCTGCTTGGTGGGCTCTGTGATTTTTATTTTTCCAGTGGTGTTTCCTCAGGGATTTATTTGCAAAGACAATGGAGTAAGAAGGGAGGTCTCTTCTCTGTGGACCTTTGGAAATGCCAACGTGTACATGAAGCCCAAAGCAGAAGCTCTCAGACCTAGAAAGACAAATTTACCCTTGCTATGACCGTGGCCTCAGAAAATCTGCCTTTTTTTAGGGCTTATATTTTTATACTAGATGGAAGATTGATTTGGGTGGGTGGTGGGAAACCCACCACTTCCTTCTGCGGCTCATTCACTTAGCTGCTCCCAGGCAAAATTGAGTTTGAAAGGATATTAATCACCAGATCACCTCCATTTGATACCACAGGAACTGGAAGGAGAGATGGAGGTGGCAGGTGCTGAGGGCAAATACAGACTCCTTAGCATGGCAAAAACAGTGCCAACTACTCTCCCAAGCTCTCCTTTCCTCCTGCTCCAGTCTCCCTCTGCTGCCCCCTACACGTCATACACAGACATCACAGCTCCTACTCAAAACTGCCGCCCAGGAAGACAAGATCTTTCGTTGCTCCACACCTTTGCCCATCCTTCCACACGGAATGAAGTTTCCATATCTTCTCAGCCTGCAGCACTCTTACTCATTTTGCTATGATACAACTCAGCTATCACCTAAGTGAAGCTTCTCTAACCCTGATAGGCAGGTATCCCCTCAGCGTTTTGGACTTCTGTGACACTTTACACATCTTTTAGGGGGCCCAGCACACACGAGGCTGTGTTTCCCAAACTATGAATATCATAAGATTGTGTCTCACTGGCCTCTCCAAACCCAGCCTGTAGAATGAGCCTGGAACGTCATCCTCCATCAACGTTTATGGAATCTATGGAACTCCGAGGCTTTCTTTTCCATTCTTTCTTGATTGGTTGGGGCTTTGTTTTGGTACCTTCATGATTCCCTGTTTTACAGTCTTGGAGGTGGTTCTCATTGATATTTTCAACTCCAGAATGTCTGTGCAGTGTAGAGGACTAGCCTGATGAATGGGGAAAACATCTAAGTCTGTTCCATTTTTCGCAGGAGCCCAACATGCTTCCTCAGTCAACATCAGTTGGAGGAACAAGGGTCCTAGAAGGTTGTGATGCCCTTGGGACTCAGTTTCAGTAGCTACCACTGGAAATTGTCTTGGGCTCCTTCCTGGTTCCTTTGACGGAGCTGAGGAAACAGTGAAGACACTTCATGTCTTCAGAGAGAGAGAAGGGCATCATGTCCTGGATTCGGATGCCTGTTGAGGGTTACCACGTTAGAGAACCTCAACTGGGCTATCTTCCTTCCTTCCTGACCCCAGGAACTCTCCATAGAGAAGAAGAAAACCCTGGAAATGCTAGAGGAGAATGAGAACCAGCTGCAGACACTGACCAATCAGAGTCAGCAGCCCTCGCCCAGTGGGAGTCTCCATAGTAACCTGAGACAGATTGAGGAGAAGATGCAGCAGCTCCTGGAGGAAAAACTCCTGGCAGAGAAGAGGTGAGGTAGCCCGAGACTCTGGCCCATAACCAGCTTGCTCAGAGGGGATTGGGAACATTCCAGAACCTGGTCCTGGACTCATTTGCCACTGAGCAGATAGACCTCTCACGTCCTTGTGTGTAGAACTCACTTTCCCCACCCAGCCACAAAATTCAACGCTGGTTCCATAATAATCTCTTCCCATGAGGTTAACCAAACAGATTGCCACTAGGCCCTTACAGCAGTACTTTGTGGCAGGCTGAGGAGGTGCTCCTAGATCTTTATATGGATTAAAAAACCCCTGAGGCTTAGAGAGGTTGTGTGACCTTCCAAGGTCACAGAATGAACAAGCCCTAAGGCCTCCTACGTCCAGGGCTCCCATCGCCTGGGTGACACGATGCCAACAGCTCTGGAGCTCACAAAGCCTGGGTCATAGGGTTCCTCCAGCCCGCTCTCTAAAAGAGGCTGCTGCCCCTGATTGGCTTACAAGAGAAGCAGGTGAGCACTGAGTGTCCCCTGTGCCCTGTCAGGATGAAGGAGAATGAGGAGCGCTCCAGAGCCCTGGAGGAGGAGCGGGAGTTCTACTCCAGCCAGTCCCAGGCGCTGCAGAACTCGCTGCAGGAGCTGACGGCAGAGAAGCAGCAGGCTGAGCGGGATCTCAAGGTGCTGGCTCAGGCCTGCTGGGCCCACATGTGTTAGGGGCCCTTCCTTCGTTAGAGGGGGGCCCTCACTCTCCCACACTTGGCTAGGCAGTTGCCTAAATGACTTTTGCTGCCCTGCCCAGATGGCCTGGTGCAGGTAACAGAATATCCACAAGGGGTGTAGCAAACCTGGATGGAGCATCATTGATAGACGCCTGCTGGATGCAGGGGCTGACTTCTGGTCCCCTAATGAGGGGGTAAGATACAGAGGCAGGACTGGCTAACGTCTATCCAAGTCTGGATGTGAGAAAGCCCACTTGAGCCAGGGGTGACCAAGGCAGGCTTGACCCAGAGATGAGAACTGCTCCCCAGGACAGCCTACCTCTCTCCTCAGGCCGAGGTGAAGGTCCGCATGGACTTGGAGAGGAGGCTGCGGGAGGCAGAGGGGGCTTTGCGGAGCCTGGAACAAGGGCTCAACTCCAAAGTGCGCAACAAGGAGAAGGAGGAGAGGATGCGGGCGGACGTGAGCCATCTGAAACGTAAGTCCTGCCGGGAAGCCCTCAGCTCTGGAGCCCAGGCCCCTCAGGCCAGATGAGGCCTGGCGTCCAGCACAAAGCATGATGAGTGTTAGGTGTTTGGTACAACTCACAGAGTTCATTACCTGGTCACCAGCCTGCAGGACCCTCCTGGGAGCTGCTTCCTTGGCTAGTGGTTGTAGGGTGGGAGCCCAGGGAAAAGCCTTGCATTTCCTCCCTTATTTAACACTCGGGACTTGCATTCTCAGCAGCCCTCCCACGAGATGGCTGAAGGTTGTGTTTGGAGGGATGGAGGTGGTTCTGATCTCCCCAATGATCGAGGTCCAGAGTTCCCACTCAGCCCCACCAGGGTCCTGGGGACTGAGGGGGGGACTGTGTGGCCACATCTTGCGCCCCGTCACAGGGTTCTTTGAGGAGTGCATCCGCAACGCGGAGCTGGAGGCCAAGATGCCAGTCATCATGAAGAACTCCGTGTACATCCACAAGGCGGCCACTCGCCGCATCAAGAGCTGCCGCTTCCACCGGCGCCGCTCCAGCGCCTCCTGGAATGACAGTGCGTGTGGCCGAGGTGGTGGGAGACAAGGGCAGGGGAGGGCTGGTGGACATCAGGCCGGACAGGGCAGCCTTGAACCTGGTTCCCAGAATGCTTGGCATTTAGAGCTGGGGATTTGAGGGACAGCAGGTGGCTGTGGGCTGAGGGACAGCAGATGGGGTGGACTGAGGGACAGCAGATAGTTGTAGATTAAGGGACAGCAGGTGGGAGTGGACTGAGGGACAGTGGGTGGGGGTGGACTGAGGGACAGCAGGTGGCTGTGGACTGAGGGACAGCGGGTGGGGGTGAACTGAGGGACAGTGGGTGGGGGTGGACTGAGGGACAG